CCATCGCTTGGGATAGGATGCTCTGCGGCCAGGCTTCTTCCTCAACTACCTGAAGCAGCCCATCGGCCTGAAGGCCTTGGGCGCATCGACCCTCTCCAAGCACATCGGCGCCAGCCATGAGCGGCTGCTGTGGGGGGACGCGGGCAGGCATCCTGGCCTGGTGCACTTGGCCACAGGGGGGGGGGGGCCTGTCCAGCATCGGGCGCGCCCTGCACCGCGAGCGGATGAGCCAGCAAGCGGCCAGGCAAATGAGCTCGGGCAAGAACGCGCTGGTCGGCTGTCTCTGGCCAGTGGCGCGCCGCTTCGCAGAGGAGCGGCCGCTGGCGTCGTCGCCCCGGTGCCTTCGCGGGTGCAATGCACGCGGCACTGCGCGGCACCTGGCGCGGCAGTGCCCTACCACCGCGCTCGGCCGTGCAGAGTGGGAGGCCAATGACGGCGCAGACGAGATGAGGCCGCCCGACGACACTCACTCCGGGGCCCTCGTCGACATCGCCAGCGCAGATGCGACGGAGGACCCGCTGTGGTCGAGGGCCCTGGTGCTTGAGCGTAGGCGCTCACTCCCGCTGCCCACGGAGGAGCGCCTGGCGCGCAAAGAAGGGCGCGCCGATCTTGTGGGCCAACCACTCGCTGGCAACCTTTTAACGGACGGCAGCATCCTGGACCCCAGCCTGGTCTCCGCACGGGGTGGCTGGGCTGCCGTCGTCATGAGTCGCGACGAGCAGGCCCTCAGCATCTTCGGCCCGCTCCCTTGGCCATGCCCGCAAGAGTCGGGGGCCGCGGAGCTTGCAGCCGCCATCGATGGACTACAGGACTCCCTCCCGCCAGTCAGGATCTACACCGACTGCCGGCTGCTCGTGGACGGCTTCGCAGCGGGCAAGGCGTGGCGCCTCCAGCGGCAGCGACCCTACCGAGAGCTACGGGCACGTTTGTGGCGAGCGCTCGAGGACATCGGCCCCGACAGCGTCACGGTCCATAAGGTGAAGGCCCACGCGACGCTGGCGGGCGCACAGGCCGAGCGCATCGCCGCCTGTCAGCGCAGGGGCAACCACAGCGCGGACGCTCGCGCCATTCAGGGCGCCGAGATGCACCCCACGGACGTTGTGGTTCGCGCGCGCAGCCTGTGCCAGGACCGCCTCGTCAGGAAGGTCTTCCGCTGGCTGGGCGCCGCCGTGCAGGAGGGCGACGCGGAGCTGACTGCCGCGGACGGCCACGAGGGGCCAGGCATGGCGGCGATGCGGTGCGACTGGCAGGGAGGCAAGCCGCGCTGGAGGACGTGTGGCATGCATGGGACATGGCTCGAGGTCGGCAGCGAAACGCTCTGGGCCTGCAAGGAGTGCGCGGGGCGGGGCGAGGCGATTTCGGGCTCGTGGATTTCGGGTTCGGAGGGGGCCTCGGGCTCGGTCCACGCGGCCGCGCCCCTCCCTGCAGCGAGCGCGGCTCTTCTCCCCAGCCAGGCCAGCGGCTCGCAGAGCGCATCAGCAGCAGATGACGGGGACCAGCGTGACGGTGGAAAGGGGGCGGGGCCTCGTCTGGCCGCGGCGGCGCGGCCGCGGCAGCTCGCAAGCAATGGGGGGCGGCACCTGTGGCGCAGCCGCCGCCCCCGCCTCCGCCAGCGCGTCCACCGTGGCGAGGGCTCGGCCCGCGCGACTCCCACGAGTTATGGCGAGCAGGCAATCACCTCTTCTGCGTCAAGTGCGGCTACTGAACGCAGAGTGTCAGGATGTCGGGCCTGGCGAAGGTGTCTCCGAGGGCGCCCGAGAGCGACGGGCAGGAAGCGGTGCTCGGCCGCCTCAAGCGAGGGCTGCAGCCAGCAGGGCAGGGCAGCACCGGTGACCCTGAGCCCCTGCGCCGCCTGCGCAGGCGAGTGGTCGGCTAGCCTCTCTCGCCCAGTTCGGGCCTGAACCATGTGCGTAGGTCCGCTCGCGCACGGGATCGGGCCCGATACTCTAGGCCTCCCAGATGGGGTCGGAGCGGATGGGGTCGGAGGATCGCGCCGAATCGCCGATGCATCGCCGATGCGGCTCGATGTGGAGCCCGTGTTTCCCCACGCTGGCGTCGCCGATGCATCGCTGACGTCGCCGATGCATCGCTGGTGCATCGCCGATACATCGACGATGCATTGGCGATGCATCGCCGATGTATCGCCGATGCGGCGCGACCCTCCGGCCCCATCTACTCGGACCCCATCTAGGCGGCCTCTAGATACCGTCGGCAATGCAACAAGTCCCTTGCGCGGCCTGGGGCCAGGAGGACAGTTGCGCTGCTGTCGGTCAGGTCGCTCGCCGCTGCCCTCGGCGGTCTCTCACCGCGTGCGCGGCCTCTGCTCTGTGCGCGCGCGTGCAGCTGCCTGTTGTTAGCAGCGGAAGCTGAACCAGGTGTGTAGGCTCGCCCACACACGGGATCGGGTTCCGACGCTTTCGCAGCATGGCTCTGTGTTCGGTGCTGCTTTTTAGCAGCTGCGGCTGCCTTTGCAGCAAGCCTCAGCGGAGGCTGACCCAGGCGCGTAGGTTCGCCCACGCGCGGGATCGGGCTCCGTCCATTGGCACTGCAACCAGCCCACGGTGTGGCCTTGAGCCGTTGGGACACGTTGCTCTGCCGATGGGTCTTGTCTGTGCCGCGCTCGCCATTTAGCGGCACGCTCCGTGCCCTTGCTCTGTCTCTGACCTCCCCCTCCCATTCTGTCTGTCGGCCTGTTTGGCGGTGCTGGTGCTACGCAGCCAGCCCTGGAACTCGGGCCGCGGGTTTCCGCCAGACGGGCGATGCATTCGCACTGCCCTTTGCCGTCCTCTTTGGCGGTGCTGGTGTCACGCAGCCAGCCCTGGAACTCGGGCCTTGGGGTTCCGCCATTCGGGAGGTGGTGCTTATTCTCCTTTGGGGCGGGTGGGGCTCGGCGCGGAGGGGGTCTGGGTTTGCCAGGCCGCTTCGACCGTTGCCATGTCCCCCCGCCTAACTCGTTTGTTTTGTTGGACGTCATCAGATGTTCATTTTTGGAGGCAGACCCAGGGGTGAACGTTCGCCCTCACTCGGGATCGGGCTCCGCACCCTCGGCAATCCAACCAGTCCGTCTGTGTGGCCTGGTGCCAATTCGACGGGTTGCTCTGCTGAAGGGAGGTGCAGTCGAGCGCCCGCCTCCGTCTCGGCGTGCTTGCGCGCCTTCTGTCAACGTAGCCTCTGGCGCGTTTCGCGACAGCGCCCTGCCCGTCCCCAGTCGTGGAGGGCGACCCGAAAGCGCAGGTCCGCCCACGCTCTGGTTCGATCTCCGCAGGCCTGAGGAGCAACGTCGGCCTGCCGTGGCTGTTTGCCTATGGACCTAGTTGTTTCTCAGGTGCGGCGTACAGTTCAGCTGTGTACCAGCTTGCTTGACCGCGCAGCGTGGCCTCTGCCAGCTGCCGAGCGTGCTGAGTCGCTTCGATTGCTTGGATCGGTCATCCGCTTGCCTCGGCTGAGGCGGTTGATTGCTTTCGGCGCTCGGGCGATCTGCGTGTGTGCGCCGTGGCGCACGTGACCGAGCGTTGCCTCCGCAGGGCCAAAGGGAAACGCCTCGGTCCGAGGGGCAGGAGCCGTGACCCCTTCAGACGTGGGGATCATCATCATTATCATCATCATCATCATCATCATCATCAGCAGCAGCAGCAGCAGCAGCATCATCATCATCACCATCGTCATCATCATCCCCCTCTCCTCCTTCCTTCGGGGGTATCCAAAGGTGTTCCTGGCCCAACGGCCCCCCGCCCTTTTTTCGGGTGATTTTGGGACTCCCTCGGCCCCCTCTCCCTCGCGAGGGGTGCTCCAAAGGCCGTGGGGGCCTCCGCGACAACCCTGAGGGCACCTCGGGGCAGGAACACTTCTGGCAACACCGGGCTCTGGCTCCGCCTCCCCTTTGCTGCTGCTTTCTCGCGCGCCTTTGCTCTCGACCGCGTTGGGGACACCAGCGGCGTCGGCGGGAGGTTCCGCCATCACAGGAGCGCCCCGGCCCTGCCGCGGTAGGGCGGTCGGAGCGGGACTCTTCCTCTACTCCGCGCTCGTCTCCTCCTTCCCTCCTCCCTTCGGGAGTGAAACAGCCATGGAAGCCAACTGCTCTGGCTTGGAGGTTCCGTCGAGCGGGGCGGGGGGGGGGGCAGGAGGTCAATTCATACTCGCCGTGGGAGGGGCCGAGAGAGAGGGCCCACGGGCCTCCTTCGAAAAAGGCCAGGCGCGCAAGCGTGCCGCGAGGGCGCCTCGAGGTGCGCCTGCAGGGGGCGGGTCGGGCCAGACAGCTGCTGTGACGCCCGTGGCCGGTCCTTCTCCTTGGTCTGGCCGAAGGCACTGACAACACCTCTCCAACATGTCTCTACCGTGGGAGCTGCGCCTTCTTGGATTCCAGGGTGCCAGACTGCATCGATGGCGCTTCCTCCCCGGATTCGGTCTGCTGCGCATGCGCGGCCCCGCCGTTGGACGTTGGCCGCCTCGTCCGGGCCGCTGGCCTGCAGTGCCAGGCACCCGCCCCGCGCAGGCACGGCCCCTGGCTGTCCGCTCGCCCGCCTGGCGGCCGACTCGAGATGGGCACCGAAGGGGGGGGGCTATTCGCCCGCGGCGGTCCGCAGGACGGCATGACCGCGCACTGCGCGTCGGCCCCTCCGTCCTCTCCCTTCCCCCCCTTCCTTTCTCTCCGTCCCCACCCTCCTCCCCTCCCCTCCCCTCTCCTGCCTCCCCCTCCTTGCCTTCTCCGCCCCCTCCCTCCTTCCCCCCCTCCGTCCCTCCAACCCCGTCCCTCCTCCGTCTCCTCTTCCCCTCCCTTCCCCAGTGAAGTGGTCCTGCTAGAGAAACGAAGGCCTCACAGCAAGTCTTCTCCTCTGTGCGTCTGATGCTGTGTTTTTTTCATGGGTGGCGCCCGCTGAGCTCACTTCAGCGCGTCCTGGGGCATGGCGGCAGCCCCCGAGTAGACCCCTGGACCGAAGTGGACTTGCAGCGCGCGACGTGCTCCACAACACGTGAGACAACAAAGACACAATTTGCTCCGTAGCCATTTTGGCTCAAGGCCGCAGGCCACTGCTGGGCTCGAGGGGGGCGCCGTGCTGCGGGAGGACCGCGCGCAGCCCGCGCTGGCCGAGCGCAGCACATGCCGCACTTTGAGCACAGCAGCTCCATGCGCGACGTCGGCAACCAGTGGCAGTGGCATGAGGCGCATCGGGACGAGAAGAAGAACATGTACCGCACGTCGTATTCAGACATGTCCCAGGGCCGGGAGGTGGCCGTGAAGAGCGACTGCCCGTCCGGTTACGGAGGCCACGTCCCCAGCCTGCGGTTCGACGTCCTCCACAGGAACACGGGCTTCGACAGGACCAACACGATCCGCAAGAACGACTTTGGTCGAGACACCCTGCCAGACTTCTCGGAGCAGCTGAGCGGCATCCCCTCGTACACGGCCTTCCCGCAAGGCGCGAACTCGAAGCCCACGGCGGGCGTCGTGCCGCACGACGGGACCACCACCATGCTGAAGCCACCCTGGGCCGTCGTGGGCGCGGACGGGAAGCGGAAGCTGAACCAGCGCAGCGTCCCGCCAACGATGTTGAGGGGCTCCATGTCCTCGCCGTCCCTGAAGAACGCCGGCATGAACTTGGCCATGTGAGCGCTCCGGGCCACGGCTCGACCACACGCGAGCCCAGTGGCCCGCGGCTGCGGCCGCACGGGTTGCCGCCCGGCCCTCGGCCAGCGGAGCCGCGTGGGCTGGAAGGGCTCCTCAGCGACCCCGCGGCCGCTCCTCGGCGACGGCCTTCTCGAGGCGGGCGCCCCGGCCTCGCTCGCTGGCCGTGCATGAAGGCACGGCCCGCGTGCGCCGGCGGCCGCCGCGCTTGGCCTCGAGGGCATGGGGGCACGTCGACGGCAGGGTGCCAAGAAGGAGAACAAGAGGGAGCGAGAATGGCATCAGTCAGAGAGGCAATGGCATCTCACGCTTTCAGTTGCCCGGCCCCGTTTGGGCCGTGTGGGCGACGGCACCTGCCGGCCAGCAGGAAGAGGCATCGGAGCGTTGCGGCTCCGCATGCGCAGGGCCGAACAGAAAAAACACACGGTTTGCTACCAGAGCTGTGCCTCAAACGGCCCACCCAACCATCAACGGCAGGGAAGGCTCCCTCCTCTCCTCGCTCCCCGCTTCCCCCCTCTCCCCTCCTCGCCCTGTCTTCCGACCAGCGGCGATCTGCGGGCTGGCGGCGCCAACGCATGGTGGCCTGCAGCCGGCTTTCGACCCTGCAAAGGGCAACGGCAGAGATTCCGAGGACGTGGCGTTGTTGGCGCTCCGCAGCGTGCGCTCTGCGTTCAGTCGGGCATGTCCTTCTACAGGTGGAATATTCAAAAGTAGTTTTAAGCATAGTCTGGGGACGATGCTTGGATTTGTTTGACCCTGTTTGAGTATGTTTGTTAATTGTTTATTTGTCTCTTTTTATATCTGCCTGCCGGAGGACGTGCCCGACCGAAACTTTACGTTTTTGTTGCTGCTCGTTTCATTCCTTCCTTTCGGAAGTGGACAGACCTTCTACCCTGACACGTCGATTAAGGAATTGGCCGTTTTCGGTTCGCGAGAGGGCGTCGCGGCCGTCATTTTTGCGGGTCCAGGTCCGTCGATTTCGGCCCCAGGTCGTTTTCACTAAGGGGAGGTTTACTAAAGGGAGGTTTTTGCGCCGCCGATCCTCTTCCTGGACTGGGGCCCTCGGGCCCCGGCAGGTCCCCGCTTTCCCCGATGGTCCGCTACCGAAAATTTCCGGTAGCGCTCCGCAGAGATCGGTCGCTACCGAAATACCGAAATGTAGCGCCCAATACCGGTATCAGAGCGTTCTGAAATCCGCTATTTCAACGCCCTCAAACGAAGATCCGGTCGCTACCGAAATTCGGGGTGCGTCGAAATCGCTACCGAAAATTTCCGGTACCAGACCGTCTGGGTTCCCCACTCCCGATGCCTCTCCTCGCCCTCCGCCGCGAAAAGTGCACGGCCGGGGCGGCCGCAGCCCGTCCGCGTCGTTGGCACATGGATCGCCGAGGCGGCCTCGGGCCCAGGGAAGAAGGGGAGGGAAGGAGGGCGAGGGCGAGGGACGCAGGGCGAGGAAAGAAGGGGAAGCAGGGGAAGGGCGAGGAGGGACGCAGGGGAGGGAAGCAGGGGAGGGAAGGACGCGGAGGCGGGGGGAAGCAGGGCGAGGGAACAGAAGGGGAGGGTAGGACGCGGAGGCGAGCGCACCGGGGACACGCCTCCTCCCCTCGGCCCCCCCCCCCGCCGCGAGGTGTACGGCCTGGGCGGCTACAGCCAGTACAACCGGGTGCTCCTCTGCATGGCCCTGGCCTCGTGGCCCCCCGGCGGCGACGGCGGCGGGCCGCTGGGGCTCGCGGCGGGAGGGGGCTTTCGGACTCCCGCCCCGGCGGAGGGCTCCTCAGCGTTCGCTTGCCTGTTCGCAGCCTGGCGACTATCGGCATCAGCGCGGCCTATAGATATATGTTCTCATATATATATATATACATGCATACCTAAACATAAACATATACGTAAACGTATACATAAGCATATACATCTATACATACATACACATATATACACACGCGTACACACTGTGCTTGGGCCGCAGTTTGCCACCATGCGAGAGTAGGGCCAAGAAGCCCTACCACCCCAGAAGCACAGGGCGGGGGTGAGGTCCAGCGTGGTCAGGGCCCACGGCCCGCAGACTGCTTGGGCCGACAGGGACGCGGAGCGCACGAAAGGGAGCATGGGTGCAGAGGGTCTCCACACCATTCTCCCTCCTCCGCCTCCGCCTCCGCCTCCGCCTCCGCCTCCGCCTCCGCCTCCTCCCTCCTCCTCCTCCTCCTCCTCCTCCTCCTCCTCCTCCTCCGCCTCCCCCCCCCCCTCCTCCTCCTCTTCTTCCTCCCCTTCCTCCTCCTCCGCCCCCCTCCACCTCCTCCTCCTCCTCCACCTCCTCCTCCTCCGCCCCTGCTCGCACCAGAGCTTGGTGGTCGGAGAGGGGGGACACTCCGAACACGGCTCGGTCCGGTGGTTGTTGGGGCCAGCGAGCGTTAAGTCGGGCACGTGAGGTTGTCAGGGAACGTTTTGTCTACTATTTTGGAGTATTTCCTAGTATTTTTGGACTACGTTTTATTTGTCATCCAAAATCCGCCTGTAGGGGGACATGCCCGACCTGAAGCGAGCGCGACGAGGGAGGGGGTCGGGAGCCTCGAGGCGGGGGTCAGTGCAGACGGGGGTCAGACAGAGCGCCGTATCTTGCAGGATCCTGCACAGCCAGGGCTGCACTGACCCCCGGTGAGCGCGCAGGAGCCTGGAGGACTTTGCGGGAGCCTGCAAAGCCCGCTTGACCCAGGGTTTGCCCTGACCCGGGTGGGTGCGTCACCGAGGAAGCGACATGAGGTCCGAAGCACAGGGCTGCACCAGGGACCGAGGTCCGAGCGCAGGAGGGCGGACGACATGGGGGGGGGAGGTGCGTCGACGGCGGCGGGGCGACAGTAGGCCGCAGGAGGAGAAGGGGAAGCGGGAGAGAGCCGGAGGCGGAGGCGGTCTCACACGTGGTGTGTTTCTCCTCCGCGGTCTTCGGCGTGCCCTGGCATGGCGGAGTCCCCTTGCCCCGTCGGCTGGGAAAATGGCAGCCGTCGCGAAGACTCCCTCTGGCTGACCCGGGTTAGCGAGCCGTTCGTGGCCGCGAGGCGGCCGCACATATTGGCCGACCCGGGTTTGCGAAGACCTGCGTTGCAGTCTTTGCTTTCCTGCGTTGCAGTGTTTGGTTTCCTGCTGACCCCGGGTCTGGACTGACCCGGGCCAGAAGGTCCCCGAGTGGGGAAGAGGAGAGGCGGGAGCACGACGAGAGGAGAGGCGGAGGCATGGTGGGGAGAAGGAGGCGGCGGCACGGCGAGGGACAGGGAAGGCACGGCCTTGCGCAGTGGTGGCGTCGGCGGCCCGACGGGGCCGGCTCCCCATGGAGGAGGGAGGGGGGCCACCAGGGAGGCGGGGCGGGGGGGCAGGGCGGCCGAGGGGCCCAAGGAGGGGGCGCGAGCTGGTGGCGCTCCGAGCGGGACGCATGGGGTGAGCCCTCCTCCTCCTCCTCCTCCTCCTCCTCCTCCTCCTTCTCCTCCTCCTCCTCTTCCTCCTCCTCCTCTTCCTCTGCCTCCTCCTCTTCCTCCTCCTCCTCCTCCTCCTCCCTCCTCTTCCTCCTCCTCCCCCTCCTCCTCCTCCTCCTCCTCCTCCTCCTCCTCCTCCTCCTCCTCCCGCTGCCTGGCTTGTCTGCTCCTGGAGGTTAGTAGGGAGGGAGGTCAGGCGCCCAGCCCTCCCTGAGGCAGAAGCTCAGGTGATGGCCGATGCCAGGGAAGCGTCATCGGTGGAGAGCTGCGCCCACTCTGTGAAGAGTATGCCGGGGCCCTCCGCCGTTGCCCCTCTTGGTCAGGCCACATGGCAGGTCACGGGGCGCCCCTTTAAGGCCGAGGTTGTGGGAGCCAGAGGCGGAGGTCGTCAAGGTGCGTCCTGCTGTGCCTCTCCGTGCGCGGCCGTGCAGTCGGGGCTCGCGTCGCTGTCGGAGGCGGTCTCTGCCCTCCTCTTGGCCGGGCTGTTGTCGTGGTTGTGGTTGTGGTGGTGGTGATGGAGGGGAGTCGGTCGTCGGGATGACGTCGGGTTTTGTTGCGGAAGGGGAGGCGTCCGGTAAGTTGTGGGTGGAGCAGGGTGGGGGGTTCGTCGCAAGGGTGCGTCATGGGTGGCTGTCCAAAGGTGGATCGGGCCCGTGCCACGGGCCAGCTGTCCATGTTGCGAAGGGAGGAGGGAGGAGTGCTGCCAGGACGCGGAAGTAGACTGGGGAACCCCTGCCCTGCTGTCCTGGTTGTCAGCAGGCTGGGGGTCGTACTCATTAGGGTGTGGGAGGGGCAGGGGGACGGTGGTCGTCATGGGTGGTCGTCGAGGGTGCCGCATAGCGCATAGCCGTGTGCAGTCCCACCGTGTACGTTGGAGTGCTAGCCGATGACTTTTTGGGCCCGCTGGGAAGCCCCATTGCGCTGGTCAGCCGTGTTGCAGTCTATGGCGCGTCGGCGAATTGCACGCGCCGAATAATGCTGCCATCGGGAGGGGCATCGTCGATGGGAGGGGGCTTGGGCCCCGTGGGCGGGGTCCGTGGGCGGGGTCCGTGGAATTTTGGCCGTCGTGGGGGCACTTGGTGGCCGCCGAGATGGCCGTCGTCGCCGTCGGGGTGGCCGAGGTGGCCGTCGAGGCGGCCGTATGAGCCCAGCGAGAGAGCGAGAGAGAGAGAGAGAGAGCGTCCGCGAAGCGCACCTTCCGCGGAAGTGGGCAAGGAGGATTCGTTATGGGATGAGTCCATGGGAGTCGTGGTCATCGGCGAGGTCGTCGGCAAAGGGCACCTGCTGGGAAAGGTGTGGGGCGTCGGGCAAGGCGTCTGTAAAGCGCACCCGCCGTGGGGAGGGGTCGAGAGGAAGGGTCGGGCAGGGCGTCGGGTAGGGGGTCGTAGGCGTCAGGTCGGCCGTCAGGTGGACAGCTCCTGGAGTTCCGCCTCGATGTCGCGAATCTTCCGAAGCTCTTGCTGCTGGGCCATCTTGGCCCGTCGGCAATCGTCGTGTAGCTGCTGGATCTGGGCGTTGATGGCGCTGTTGCTGGCATAGTCGTCGATGCAGGTGCTGGGGACGGTGCTGGTGATGGCGAAAACATGTTGAGCCCAGCGGGCATCAAGGTCCCAGCGAGAGGATATCATCCACTCGGGGGCGTCGGGTAGGGTGTGGGGTAGAGCGTCGCGGAGCACAGAAGGGGCGTCGGGTCCGTCGAGTTGGGGTGGAGCGTCGGGCGGGGCAGCGGGCAGGGCGTGGGGCAAGGCAGAAGGGTCGTCGTCCGGCCGCCCTCCAATCGCACGGAACTGCCTGCGAGACAGAGCCCGTGCGGCATTGTTGTCTGGATCCGCTCCGTCCGCGGCTATCCCCGCACCCAGATGTAGCGGTGCGTTGTCAGGCGAAGAGGTCGGCCAGAGCAGAACGACACGTCTCGCATGGCCGACTCATAGGCCCAAGCGCGCGAAATTATTTTCGCCGCAGCTGCGCGGAAGTAGCTTCCGCGCGGGCACTCTGTAATACCGAGGCGTTGGACGGTGGAGAGAGAGAGAGAGAGAGAGATAGAGAGAGAGAGAGAGAAAGAGAAAACAAAAACCAAGAGGGAGAGAGAGAGAGAGAGAGAGAGACAGGGAAACAGCACGCATCTCGCTCGAAATCCGCCCAGCATGCGTAGCTTAATTTTCGTGGAACAACCCGCGGCCAGTCTTTAGAATTGCCAGGGCTCTTATGATCGCGTGGAAGACGTGCAGCCGCCACGGCAGCGAGAATTAACGACGAGTGTCTCAAGATTTCTCGAATCGTTTAGAAAGTCGCGAGCGCCAGCCCGATCCGCGGAGCGAGGTCCCTGACATTCTGCCAGCTGGCGCCAGACTTGTACTCCAAAGTGTGGCCAGAGATGCCGAGGGGCCGGTCAATGCGCCTCAGCAGCAGATGTAGCTTGGCCAAGTGAAGGTCGAGGCCGTACGCCTTCCCGGCTCGCGACGCAGCCGACGCGAATTATTTCTATGTGCGCCGCGTTTGATCCGATACGCAGCGTGTCATCAGCATCGGCTATGTCGCCATGTCCGTAAGATCTTGCTCGCGGTGGGCTGCCGCTGCAGCAGGGCCCAGGAGCGCAACTGCGTCACCAGTTTGCGCACTCATCATGACAATGAACAATGACGGGTTCAGGGTACATCCCTGCGAGATTCTAGAATTTTGGCGTCGTTTGGTGGGTTGGCGCCCCATGTCATCGACAAAGGTACGTCGCTCGAATATGGTGTTTCGCAACAACTCGCGTTACATTGCAGGATGGCCGAAATTCTCCAATGCCGAGGTCCTGCCGTCAACGCTCACGCTGTCGAATTTCCATTGCGAACTGCTGCCCAGATCTCCTTGGGCGGATCCAGCTGCAGCAGGGACGAGTCCCCCCCCCCCCCAAGGGAGCTCAGGCGGGCGACCCCCCCCTCCTCCGATGTTTGCCCGACCATCCTGTGGTGTTGGGACTTCGTTTGAAGAGACAGCGCCTCGCGTCCCTCCTCCTGTCCTCTCTTCTCCTCTCCTCCCCCTCCTCCCTCCTCCCCCTCCTTGCCTCTGCCCTCTTCGTTGCCATCGTCACCACCACCACCACCACCACCATCATCATCATCATCATCATCATCATCATCATCATCATCATCATCATCATCATCATCATCATCATCATCATCATCGTCATTGTCATCGTCATCGTCATCGTCATCGTCATCGTCATAAGAATCAGCATCACAGCATCACCATCATCATCAATACCAACATCGACATCATCATCATCATAATCCTCATCCTCACCATGATCCTTCTCCTCCTCCTCATCATTAGCATCGTCAACAGCATCATTCCCATCATCATCATCATCATCATCATCATCATCATCATCATCATCATCATCATCATCATCATCACCATCAGCATCAGCATCAGCATCGGCATCATCATCCTCATCATAATCCGCATCCTTATCCTGATCCTTATCCTCCTCACCATCAGCATTAGCATCGTCAGCATCATCATTATCATCATCGGCATCATCATCGTCATCATCAGCATCCTCATCCTCATCCTCATCATCATCATCATCATCATCATCATCATCATCATCATCATCATCATCGTCATCATCACCATCATCATCATCAGCTTCTTCATGATCATCGTCCTCACGAGCATCATGAGTTTCGGCACACCCCTCACACGTTTCGCGACCCCATAGGGAGTTCCACCGAAGGCCGCAGTGGCCAAGTCCACATGCGTCCCCGCCACCCATGTCGGCACACCCCTCACACGTTTCGTTTGCCCACATGCGTCCCCGCCACCCATGTCGGCACACCCCTCACACGTTTCGTTTGCCCACATGCGTCCCCGCCACCCATGTCGGCACACCCCTCACACGTTTCGTGGCCCTATAAGGGGGCTCCACCGGAGTCCCCAGGGGCCGTGCCAACATGCGTCCGCGCAACCCTTGTCGACACGCCCTTCACAAGTTGCGTGGCCCTATAGGGAGCTCCACCGAAGACCCCAATGGCGGTGCCCACATGCGTCCCCGCCGCCCATTTCGGCACTCCCATCACACGTTTCGTGGCCCAATAGGGAGCTCTACCCAAGGCCCCAGTGGCGGTGCCCACATGCATCCGCCCAACCCCTTCCGGCACACCCCTCACACGTTTCGTGGCCCCTCAGGGAGCTCCACCGAAGGCCCCAGTGGCTGTACCCATGCGCGTCCCCGCCGCCCATTTCGGCACAACACTCACACGTTTCGGTGCCCCATGAGGAAGCTCCACTGATAGCCCCAGTGGCCGTGCCCACATGCGTCCCCGACACACATTTCCGCACACCCCTCACACGCTTCGTGGCCCCATAGGGAGCTCAACCGAAGGCCCAAACGGCGGTGCCCACATGCGTCCCCGCCACCCATTTCGGCACACCCCTCACACGCTTCGAGGCCCCATAGGGAGCTCTAGGGGATGTGCCAACATGCGTCCCCGCCACTGATTTCGGTAAACCCCTCACAAGTTTCGTGGCCCCAGAAGAGCTCCACCGACGGCCCCAGTGGCGGTGCCCACATACGCCCCCGGAACCCATTTCGGCACATCCCTCACACGCTTCGTGGCCCCATCAGGGAGGTCCACCGAAGTCCCCAGGGGCGGTGCCCACATGCCACATGTTTCCGCGCAGCCCCTTTCGGCACACCCCTCACACGTTTGGAGCTCCACCGACGGCCCCAGTGGCGGTGCCCACATGCGTCCCCGACACATTTCCGCAGAGCCCCAGCGGCGGTGCCCACGTGCGTCCCCGAAACCAATTCTGGCACGCCCGTCAAACGTGTCATGGCCCCATAGGGAGCTCTACCCAAGGCCCCAGTGGCAGTGCCCACATGCGTCCTCGCCACCGATTCGGCACACCCTCACACATTTCGTAGCCCCATAAGAACCTTGACCGAAGGCCCCAGTGGCGGTACCCACATGCGTCCCCGCCGCTTATTTCGGTACACCCCTCACACGTTTCGGTGCCCCATGAGAAGCTCCACCGAAGGCCCCAGCTGCGCAGTCAGCAAGCGCCCCCGCAACCCATGTCGGCACACCCCTCACACGTTTCGTGGCCCCATAGGGATCTCCACCGATGGCCCAAGTGGCGGTGCCCACATGCGCCTCCGCCACCCATTTCGGCACACCACTCACACGCTTTATGTCCTTATCAGGAGGCTCAACCGGAGACGGTGCTCACAACTGCGTTACTTACAACTGCATTTGGTCGGGTCCTTCGCCAGGCGAATGTTGTGCGTGTGAGGAGTAGAGAGAGAGAGAGAGAGAGAGAGAGAGACAAAAAAAACAGAAACAAAAAAAGAGAAAACCTTCCCTCCTCCTCCCTCTTCCTCCTCCCCTCCTCCTCATCCCTCCCTGCCCCTCCTCCCTCTTCTCTTGGAGCTCTGATGGGTCGAGTAGCTTGGACGCAGTGAGACCTGCATCGGCGCGGACTGCGCCGAGCGGAGAGCCTCGGCGCCCAGCTCACGGGGGCGGCGCTGCGGCCTGAACCGCTGGGTGCGGCTCCTCCTCTCTGGCATGGCACGAGCACGCACGACAGAGCTGTGCTGCAGGAAGAAATTAAATGGGGCGAAGACCCACGGCGGTGCCGGCGCATCTTGACTTGGATCCCTCTGCCGGAGTCGCTGCAGGCGTTGTCGACTTGAGGCCACGTGCGGCCTGCCCAGCACGCCGCCGTCGGGTCGGAAAGACACTTGCCGTTGGGCCTTGGTGCCAAAGGTTGTTCTCACGAGTGTCGGTCGAGCCAACAGAGGTTCCAACAGGTACCTCCTCCTTCGTCCCTCCCTCTCAATGGGCAGCCGGCTTTCACCCGAGGCCCGAAAACCATCACTTCACTAATTTTGGGCCCCAGGGCCCACTGAGGCCCCAGGGGCCCCAGATTAGTGAAGTGATATTTTTTCCCACGTAAGGACCCCGAAATTCATCACTTCACTAAATCGAGTCCAGGACGAAAGTCAGGGGCCGAATTGCTGCTGTGATGCAACATCGGTCTCGTATTTCACAGCAATCGGTCACACCATGCCTTCCGAGGTCGGTCTGCCAGCCAGGGGCAAGTCCTACATCGTCAAGATGTTGACGCGCTACCTCACGTGGTCAGGTGCTCCGTGCTCTCCTGCCGCCCCCTCCTGCTGCAGGGGGGGGGTCTCTCTCGCCGCTGCGCTTGCGTGCTTCATCGCACTGGTGCGCCTGTCACTACGAGGCACATCCCTTCCGGGTTCATCCGGCGCCTGCCTGTCGCAGAGGATCGTTCGTTCCGTATTCTGCCCAGCTGTTCTGGGATCGTCCCTGCCATTCGGCTGCGGCTGGCCCTCTCTTCCCCCCCCCCCCCCCCCGCGGCCGCCCGCTCCCTCCCTCCTCCCCCTCGTGCATGCTGGCCAATCCGCTGCAGCGGTGCCCCCGTTGGGTTGGCTGCTTCCGCCAGCGCAGACGGCCCCTGCGTGGCCGCCGACGCAAAGAGTAGCTTGGCCAGCGTGCCAGGCTGCTCGCCGTGGCCCCAGACGTCCGACGTCTTGGTTTCTCAAACCGGTGTCCCTGGAGGTGCCGACTCGTTACCCGGCGTTTCATCCCGAATCGATTTCTTGTTTACGGTCAGAAGGGGGGGGCTTCCCGCAATAGGGGAACGAAGAATGACAGAAACATAACAACTCGCAGGTCCGCGCGGACTTCTTGGATCGGCTTTGGGGCCCCTTGGCGGCGCCTCCAGCGCCGCTCCTGGCGCGCTCCGCGCGCCAGGGAGGGGGGTCGAGCGCCGATCCGAGAAATCCGCGCGGACTTCCGAGTTTTCATGCTTCTGTCATTGTTCGTTCCCCTGCGCAAGCCGATAACGGCAGCACAAGTCCGCCTTGATGTTTCAGGACGTCGGAGGTCTGGGCTGGCTTGGGCGGGCGCGAGGCTGCAGAATCTGGCCCAGGCCCCAGACACCCGATGTCATGTTCTTGTTCCCAACCATCCTGTGGAGTTGGGTCTTTGTTTCGAGGAGACAGTCCCCGCGTCTCCGTCCTTCCTTCCTTCCTTCCTTTCTCTCCCCCCCTCCTCCTTCCTCCCATCCTTACCTCTGTTCTCTGCGTGTCGACCAGTTCGGCAAACCCCTCACACGTTTTGTGGCCCCATAGGAAGCTCCACCGAAGGCCCCAGTGGCAAAGTCCACATGCGGTGTCCTGTTAATTTCGGCACACCCCACCCCTCACACGCGTCGTGGCCCCATAGGGAGCTCCACCGAAGGCCCCAGTGGTCAAGTCCACATGCGTCTCCGCCGCCCATTTCGGCACACCCAGCACAGCGAGTTGCCACCGAGATACCCGTTGCATCGCGAGTGACAGTTCAACGACCAACCCGGACAGCAGCTTGCGTCGCCTTGCCGTTTGTTTCGCAGCGGAAATCGTCACCTCGTGTGATCTCTTCCTTGTGACTCCATGGACACCAGCGCACAGATCGCCGGTTGGGGCGAACAGCTAGGAGCACGCGTCGACATAGTTCGGCTTCATTCTGGCCCTTGAATCCGCGGACAGTTAAGTGTTCAACGGACTGTGACCAAAGGAAAAAATAAACAAAAAACAACAAAACAAAAAAATAAAAAAAAAATCGGCACACCCATCACACGTTTCGTGGCCCCACAGGGGGCCCCACCGAAGGCTCACACGTTTCGTGGCCCGATAGGAGCTCCACCGAAGGCCCAAGTGGCAAAGTCCACATGCGGTTCCCCTCCGATTTGGGCACACCCTTCACACGCGGTGTGGCCCCACAGGGAGCTCCAGCAAAAGCGGTGTCCACAACGAGGCATTCACAATTGCATATGGTTGACACTTCGCCAGAATAACTTTCCATGCGGGGTTGCGGTCCCCGGAAGTCCAGACCTTTCCCCAGGGATCTCGTTTCATGTTGAGCCGTTTTTTCCGTCCCTGGGGCCCGGCGATGGGCCCTCACAGAGGCCGACATCGACACACTACTTACGCATTGTTTTTCTTTTTGCCGCGGCTCGGATTCATGGCGGGCCCGCCCTCTTGGAAGGGGCAGACTGCCGAGGTTCCGTATTCAGCCCAGGCGCGTGCACAGCAGGGTTGTGACCTGCCTGTGGGCCACCCTGGCCAGCGTTACCAAGCCATGTGCACAACACCTTGCTGGCGATTGAGCCTGTCTCCTACGGTTGAGCTCTTGAGTGGCCACTTCGGTGCACGCTAAGCGCGTTTGCGCTTAGCGTGTGCGTGCGCTTAGAGTGTCCCTGCGCTTATCAGGGGCAACGATGGGGGAGGGGGTAGGCATAGGGGGGGATGCATCGACCCCCAATCGCCCATTGATCGCCGATAGGGGCCCGATATCCCCAACCCTCCCAGGAAGGTGCGGATTCACTATCGGGGGCCTATCGCCGATCCATCGGCGATGTATCGCCGATTCCATGTCGATGCATCCCCCCCTGTGCCAGTCCCCCCGTGTCGTTGCCCCTCAGCTTGGCGTGCCCGAAGCACCTCGCCCAGCGTGTGCGAACGTGGACCTGGTCGGCAAGCCCCTGACCACCTCCAGCGTGGGTGCTCAGCGTGTGCGGAGGTGGCCCTCCATCCGCCCCCTCGGAGGGGGGAGGGGGAGGGCCTCCCCCTCTCCCCCTCCCCCTCTTCCTCCTGCTCCGCCGCCTCCCCCTGAGGGAGGAGGAGGAGGAGGAGGAGGAGGAGGAGGAGGAGGAGGAGGAGGAGAGGAGGAGGAGCAGGAGGGGGAGGAGGATGAGGAGAAGGAGGATAAAGAGGAGGAGGAGGAAGAGGAGGAGGAGGAGGATCAGGCGGTACACTTGTTCCTGACCCTCCTGCGTTGGGTTCTCGTTCTGAATAGAGCACTGCGGTCGCGACGTCCTCCTCCCGCCTCCCTCCTCCTCTCTTCCCTCTCCTCCTTCTCTCCTGTCCTCCTGGCTTTTATATGGTGTGTGCCTGCCTGCCAGCCTGGGGGGCTGCGATCAACGACACTGTCGCCATGTTCGAACGCTGGGGAGTCCAACGGAGTGAACGCCCGCCGCAGACTCACATTAGACCTCGCCATCTCTGGGAGGGGCGGGCTGCGAGTGACACCCCACCGCAGACTTAGATTAGACCTCGCCTTTCCCTGGGAGGGGCTGTGATCTGCGAAGCTGTCGCCACTTTCGAGGGCTGCCAGGGGGTCCAGCGGAGTGACGCCCCACCGCAGACTCCAGCTTAGACCTCGCCATCCTTCGGGGGCTGCGAACTGCGGAACGGACGCCACCTTCGAGGGCTGCTTGGGGGGGGGGGCCCAGCGGAGTCACGCCCCACCGCAGACCCAGACTCGACCTCGCCAGCCCTGCGGGGGGGGGGGATCGAACTGCGAAGCGGTCCCCACCTTCGGGGGCGGCTGCGGGGTCCAGCGGCGTGACGCCATGCGCGCGTTCTGCCTCGCGCCGCGCTCCTTTCTCCTCGCGGGCCGCCCGGAGGTCCTGGCGGCGCGCCTCCGGGCGTGGAGCTCCCGCGCTGCAGGGAGCGGGAGGGAAGCGGAGAACCTGGCGGGCGAGCTCGGCCTCGCTCGCCTCCTCCTCCTCCTCCTCCTCCTCCTCCTCCTCCTCCTCCTCCTCCTCCTCCTCCTCCTCCTCCTCCTCCTCCTCCTCCCCCTCCTCCCCCTCCTCCTCCTCCTCCTCCCCCTCCTCCTCCCCCTCCTCCTCCTCCCGCCACCCGCCGCCCGAAGGGGAGGCCCTGCAGCCGCTCGCAGGCCGCAGGGCTGGGCGGCGTCGGCGGAGCACCAGTGTTGAACAGCTGGTCATTTTTGGAGCGAGCGTCGTTTGGAGCGCCAGAGCGTCCGTCAATGCGCGGGCCGCGCTGCTTGTCCAGCGCGCCGCTGGACAACGATCGCCGCCCTCCTCTTTCGTCCTGCCTCTTCCGTCGTCGTCCGCTTCCTCCTGCCGCCGCCTCTCTGCTGCTGTCGCGTGGGCTTTTCAGCCCCTCTTCCGTCCTTTTCCAGGTCCCTCGCTCCCGCCCCCCCCGGTTTTCTTTTCGAACCTTGGGCTTCGGTCGTCGTCCTTTTGTTGCTCTCCTGTGAGTCGTGCAGCGCGCGCGCGCGCTTCGGGTACAGCTTGCGCAACCAAATACATACCCCGTGTTGTCATCCGCTGGACGAGTCTGTTGTTGTTGCCACCCATTGCATATGGGCTGGGTACGTCCCAAAGTGTTCGCTTGCGGGGGCCAGTGGGCGCACGACGCGTCGTGGGTGCGCTTAGCGTGCGCGCGCGTGACTGGTGCTCTGTAAAGACTTTATACGTCACAGAAGCGCTCAGCGTGTACGTCAAAAACAATCCAGGGCGTAGCGTGTTTCGAATCGGCCCTCCCAGGGTGGAGCAAGCATATAGAATCCAAACCTTGGCCCGGAAACGTGCTTAGCGTGTCCGAAGCGTCGCCGCGGGGGTTTACCAACACTTCGGTACACGCTAGACACGAAAACTAAACCATGAATTACCCGCAGCCGCGTGAAGACTGCTGCGTTTCGCGTTCCGCGGCCTGGGCCAGAGAGTTGCCCACATTCACTCTCGGAGGGCCGCGTGGGAGCTTGAAGATGATCACGGCTTCTTGCGGCGCGAATGGCGAAGCTAAGTCACCCAAGGCGCGCTTGGGAAGAAGCTTTTCTCAATTCCCACAGTCCCGTTCCTACCTGCAGCGGAGTTGAGTTGAGTCTGTGCGCGCGCACCAAGGTTTCCCGGTCAAGGCGTTCAACGCTGGGAACCTGAGGACCACGGCTCCTCTGGCTCCTCCCTCTGAGTCACTCGGCGGTCCACACCAATCGTGGTCATTCCTGGCAATCGCCTTCCACCGTGTCCCACTTGATTCCAGGCAACCCACATGGGTTTCGAGTAGACGGGGTCGGAGGATCGCGCCTTACCGCCGATGCTTCGGCGATGCGGGTCGATTCGGAGCCCGATGTTCTCTATCCCAGCGTCGCCGAAGCATCGGCGATGCAGCGCCATCTTCCGTCTCCACCTGCTCGGCCTCGCTGGGGCAGGCTGCATCCACTGGTTGATGTGATCGCGTTGATGAGGACGGAGAGTGGGTAATGAGAAGGTCCAAGAGGTCGAGGGTGTCCAAGGGGTGGCTGAAGACTCGGGGGAAGTGGGTATCATGACCGGGCCATGAGATCTTCCAGATGTCGTGGTACCCTCTTGCTATTTCGAAATATTCCCTGGCCCCACATCCTGGAATCTGCCTCGGTCCATTGCGCCCTTCTCTTCGGGGCCCTCTTCGGCGCACCAAAAAGGTGGGAGTGCAAGCGGCGATGAAGATCCAGTCGCTCTGCTGCACGTGTCCAAATCCACGCCTCGTGGAAGCTGCACGGCAGCGCTGTGTGTGGCAGTGGGCCGCAGCGTTGTGTGGTCGTCTCGTTGCCTCTTAGCCTGGAGTCCCCCCAGTGGCGCGAAGTTAACCGCGCTTCGCGCTTCGCTTCCTGGGCCGCAGAAGTGGCCCTCTCCATGTCCGCGACGCGAGGGCGCGAAGGTAGCCGCGCGTCGCGCATCGTATCGCAGGACGCCATGCGCGAAATGAGGTGGCCTAGTTCATGGGCCTCCCTGGGGCCTCCAGGGGGTTTGGGGGATGTTTTGGCGTGCCCCGGAGGCCCTTTGCAGGCATGTCGAGGGCCTTGCGGCCGTCTCGGGCGGCCGGCCCTAGGGCCATTCTGGAAGTTCTGGGCATCCTCTTAGCGAGGACTGGGCTCGTCTTAGACAGGTCTTGGGCCGTTCTTTGGGCCATCTTTTGCTGGTGTTGGGCTGTCTTGGGGCCGTCTTGGGGGAGCTCTTGGGCCGTGAGGCGACCATCTGGGGTCCTTCCTGGCTAAGGGCTTCCTGGGCCGCTGGGGAAAACGAACGGGACCGCCTAGGGGCCGTTTGGAGGCGTACCGGATGCCATCCTCGGCCCTCCAGGACGGTCAAGGTCAAGGGCAAGGTCACGTTCGAGCACGACGCCAGGTCCGTCACCAGACGCGGAGCGAAAAACACAACGCAATGTCAAAGTTCAAGTCGGACCCACGTTGTTCGCAGCCTGCCCCTGGATCGGTTTGGCTGAGCGAGCCACCTTACATCGGCAATTTTGCTATGGCTCCAGGCCCCGACTAAACTCAACGACGAGTTTGGGGTCTCGACATGTTCTCAGCCTCCCAACATGCCTTCTGGGGGCCTTCTTGAGGGCCTCTTGGGACTCGGGTGGCCCCGTGGGTGGTCTTCAGGCCGACTGTCAGATGATCAATTATCATGAACCTGATACGCGCCATGATTTCCAGACGTTCTCGCTGTTCCCCGCAGGCTCTAGAGGCGAGGACTGTTAGCTGCTCTGGAACTTCTGGGGCGCATCGTGAGCCTACAGTCGGGGCGCTGAAGAAGGAACCCTTTTAGTTGGGGAGGGGCTCGGTGTTCCTTGATTGTTTCAAAGTTTGCTTCGGGTTTTCCTGAGGTTTTCCATGGGATATCGAGGTTGCACTTATGGGAAGAAGGGGCCTCGTTCCTTACTCAGGGTTCCTTCGGTCAACGCCCCGACTGTATGGCATCACAACATCACTCTTGCCCTCACCTCGGCAGGGCGCGGTGCCGTCGGGACCGCCTCGCTCCACGATTTCCAGATGTTCTCGCTGTTCCCCGCAGGCTCTGGAGGCGAGGACTCTGAGATGCTCTGGAACTTCTGGGGCGCATCCTGAGCCTATGGCATCACAACATCACTCTTGTCCTCACCTCGGCAGGGCGCGGCGCCGTCGGGACCGCCTCGGGGTGCCGCTGCCCTCCCGCGAGGGTCGGGAGAACCTCCCGTGGGGCCAGCCTCGGGCCGCCCGGTGGCCGTCCTCGGCAGGCCTCGGCGGCCTCCCCGGGGTCCGTCTTCGGGCCTGCCCTGGGGCGCTGGGCTGAGCCTGGGGCCCCATACTTCAAGGGCAGAAAAAACGCCCCTACCCTGGTTTACGAGGCGCTGTGCTCTGAAACTCCTGTGGGCTGACAGGGTAAACCCTGCGTGATGTGCCGCGTCCTGGCGGCTCTAGGCTTTGGGGGTTCCCAGGAGGTTTACAGACCACGCACTTGTAATCCAGGGTAGGGTCGTTTTTGCATCCCTCAAATACTATCTAAGAGGACCGAGGATCGTCGCTCAGGAGGAGCGCGGTCGCCTCGGGGAGCTGGCGGCGCGCGGCGGGGACCCCGGGCGGGGGCGCAGAGCGTCGAGGCGGGAGGGGGGGGATCGAGGATCGAGGAGGAGGAGGAGGATCGAGGAGGGGGAGGAGCAGAAGGGAGGCGGAGTGGGCTGAGGTGGCTCGCTCGCTCGCTATCTGCATACATCGGCGTGGCGAAAGTTTTTTTCAATATGCCTTTTGGAGTGACGCGTTCGTGCGGAGTAGTTCGGAGCAGTTTCACTGAAACTACTCCGCGCGCAGTCGCATCCCGCTCGGTAATTTGTATGGCTCGGCGCGGAGTAGTTTCCGATCCCGTTTTGGGGGTAACAGAGTTATTAACGTCCCCGGGATCGGAAACTACTCCGCCGAATGACCCGGCATCATGTCATGTTAGGAATCTTGAGAGAGATGGGAGAGATCTTCATCATAGCAAATTGAAGAAACTGTTGTCACGGCTGTGTTTTCAAGGGGACCGAGGATCGTCGCTCATTTGGGACGTTTTGTATCTGTCTTGCTCTGGGCCTTCAGGAGGCGTGTCGTCGTCACGGTTGGACTCCCCTCCAACATTCTGGTCGACACGCGTCCCTGGAGAGGTCGAGGGGGCGATCTGACCCCTGGCGACCCTGCACCCGCCTTGGGACTGTCGCAAGACGGCTCAGGATGAGAAGTTGACCCTGTGGAAGGGGCCAAGATGTCTGCGACCTCCGAAATCGAGTCGTCGGATGTCTTGGGTGGGCGAGGCCATGTGTGGCTTGCTGAGACCTATGGGAGGATGTGAGTTTTCCATTGGGAGCCCGCTGCGACGTATTTATAAGAACTGTCCCATCCTGGCATCCGTTTCGTGGGGAAGCCCTCTCCACAGATGCGCATCGAGAACCCTCCCCTTCGCTTGCCTGGCTTATCCTGCAACTTCTTTGAAGCTGGCCATGTTGCCAGCGATCCTTGCTGATGCTTGTGCGCGTCCGATCCATTGAAGACTTTCGGAAGCGCAGAGCAGACATCACCGGAGCAGCACGGCCGCGCAAGACCGCACGATACTGCGCAACACCGCGCAGCACCGCGCAACACCGCACAGCACCGTGCAACACCGCGCCTCACCGCCCAACACCGCGCCATTTACTGAGCGGCGTTCTTCTTTCTTTCACATCATTAGCGCCGATATCCGAACTAGCACAACTCGTCAAGAGAAACGACTGCAGCACATAGAGATCATGCAATGCGGCACGATGTCCCTGCCTTATGGCGGTCCGAGAGCCCCCACCCCTCGTGGAGGCCCCGAAGCCGACGGACGTGCAAACGTCCCAGCCCGAGGCCCACGACCACCGACGTATGGGGGAAGTCGGGGGGCCGTTGAAGCGAGTGCGAAAAAAAGGAAGAGAGGAGAAGAAGGAGGGAGTTTCCAAGTCGCCTCCCAGAAACGCTTGTGGGACACGTAAATATTTTAAGGTTGTGCTGGCAGCGCCTGGCCAATCAGTCGACCCGCATAATAAGAATGGGCATCCTTCCCAAGGGTACCCTTGCATCCTTGCCTCCTCGGTCCATCCTTGGCCACTTTCGTTGGCCGTGCTCGGCTCGAGAAGCTTCGAAATGGGCGTCCAAGGCCCTTGCATCCTTATCGCGCATCCTTACTATACGGGCCGACTGTAGTAGAAGGCCGCCCCCCATCACGCCACCCCCTCCTGCGGCGGCCTCGGGAGACCTCCGTACAGCCACGCTGAGGTCTCCAGAGGTCCTTGGGGGCCTCCAGAGGCCCCATAGGGGGCCAGAAGCGCCCGCTCAAGAACCTCGCTCCTCGCTCCTCCTTCCTCTACTCCTCGGCCCTCCTCGATCCTCCTCGATCCGACTCGGTTCTCCTCGGTCCTTTTTTCCTCCTCCTCCTCCTCCTCCTCCTCCTTCTCGGTGCTTGAGGCAAGTGCTCCGCATACCACGTTCATACATTCACCGCGTGACGAGTTCATATGTTCTGCAGCAGGCAGGCGCCACTCCGCTGAGCAATACCCTGCTCCAGCGTCAACTGCTGCTCCTGGGGCATATCGCACGAGAGCCTGCTGGCGACCCAGTCAGGAGCACTTTCTTGCGTCCTTTTTTATGCGAGTTAGCGGCGCAGACCTGCAAGCTGAAGCGGGGGTGCCCCAGGAAAACGTAGACCAAAACAGTTGTTTCCTCAAGCTATCCGGGTCGTGGAGGGTGAGGGTGCCCTGCTGGGCTCTGGCAAGACAGTGTCATTTCTGCCGCAGCATGGCGCGCAGCAATGAACAAGTATTTATTGCGACGCCCTGTGAGGCCACGGTATTTGTTCTCATGTGCTTTTCACTCTGCCTCACTTCTCTTTCTCTCTCTCCCTCCTCCTCCCCCTCCCCCTCCTTCTCCTCCTCCTCCTCCTCCCCCTCCTCCTCCTTCCCCTCCTCCTCCTCCTCCTCCTCCTCCTCCTCCTCCTCCTCCTCTTGCGGCCATTATGTTGAGGAAGTGGAGAAGACAGGCCACATGCAGATAGCGAGCGAGCGAGTCACCTCAGCCCACTCCGCTTCCCTTCTGCTCCTCCCCCTCCTCGATCCTCCTCCTCCTCCTCCTCCTCCTCCTCCTCCTCCTCCTCCTCCTCCTCCTCTTCCTCCTCCTCCTCCTCCTCGATCCTCGATCCCCCCCTCCCGCCTCGACGCCCTGCGCCCCCGCCCGGGGTCCCCGCCGCGCGCCGGCTCGGCTCCCCGAGCCTCGGGGCGACCGCGCCGCCGGCGGCGACGGCTTCCAGCGGCGGCGACGGCGACCGCCGCGACGGCCTCCGGCGGCGGCGGCGGCGGCGACCGCCGCGACGGCCTCCGGCGGCGGCGGCGGCGGCGGCGGCGGCTGGCTCGGGCTCGGGCGCTTGGGCGCTGGGGCGCTGGGGCGCTGGGCTTCTGGGCTTCTGGACTTGGGCTCGGACTCGGGCCTGGGCCCCGGCTCGCAGGAGTCTGGCGGCCGGGCTCTTTGGCGAGGCGCTGGGCTCCCCCCAGACCTCTCTCTATCGGCCCCTGCTCTCTCCCGTGGCCGGCTCTTCGTCCCGGGTGCCGTTTTCGGACGGCCCCCAGAGGCCCCCGCCGCCGCCGTCCTCGGGCATCTGGCCGCTTGATCTGTGAGCCTCTATCTTCGACCCTCCCCCTCCATCTCAGATCCTGGCCGCTTGATCTGTGAGCCTCTATCTTCGACCCTCCCCCTCCATCTCCGATCCTCCTCCTCCTCCTCCGACGGCGACGACGACGCAGACGACGGCGGCTGCTGGCCGCCGATGGGCACAACGACGACGACGACGAGGATCACGAAGAGGACGACGACCACGGCGACGGCAACGACGTCGACGACGACGACGACACCGACGACGACGACGGACGGCAACGATGTCGACGACGACGCCGGCGGCGGCGACGGTGACGGCCACAGCGACAGCGACGGCGACGGTGCTGACGACGGCGACGGCGACGGCGACGACGATGACGACGTCGACGACGGTGATAGCGGCGAAGCAGACGAAGACAACGACGACGGCCGACGTTGGCCGCGGCGGCCCGCCGACCGCAGGAGGCACATGGGCAAGGCTGGCGCGGATGCGAACTTCTTCGACAAGAACAACAAGGAGATGTCGGCGCTGCGGGAGAGGCGCGCGACCTCGTCTGCTGCCGTCGTCGTCGTCGTCTTCGCCGCCGCCGTTGCCGTCGCCGCCGTCGTCGTCGCCTTCGTTGCTGTTGTCTTCGTCGCCGTCGTCCTCGCCGTTCCTCGCCGTCGTCGCTGCCGTCGCAGGCGAAGGAGATGGAGCACGAAAAGGATGTGGGTGAGAACGAAGAGAAGGAGGAGGTGGACGAGGTGGAGGAAGAGGACGAGGATGTACGGTGAGGATGACGGTGATGACGGCGATGATGATGATATTCATGTTGAGGAGGATGGTGATGATAATGATGATGATGACGATGGTGATGGTAATGGTGATGGTGATGGTGGATGATGATGAACATGAGGATTAGGATGTTGATGATGCTGATGCTGATGATGACGAGCATGAGGAGATTGGTGATTATGTTGATGCTGATGATGGAGTGCATGACGATAATGGTGATGCTGCTGGTAATGATTGCGATGCTGCTGCTGATGGTGATCATGATGACGGCGATTATCATGATGATGGTCATGACGATGATGCTGATGATGCGTGACGATTAGGAGCAGGAGGATAATGAGTAGGACGGTGGTGGTGGTGCTGCTGATGATGGTAGTGATCCTGATGATGATGAGGAAGAGGAGCAGGGGACTGATGATGTTGATGGCGGTGGTAATGATTGTGATGGTGGTGACGATGATGGTGATGGTGGTTGTGGTGGTGATGGTGACACCGATGGTGATGGTGATGGTGATGATGATGATGTTGATACTGATGCCGATGCTGATGCTGATGCTGCTGGTGATGATGGTGATGGGATGATTATGATGATGAACTTGCTGAAATCATGATGGTGATGCTGAGATGATGAGGATGATTGTAACGATGATTGTGATCTTGATGACGATGATGATTACGATGATGATGGATGAGGATGGGGATGATCATCGTGATGATGCTGAGGATGCTGATGATGATACTGACGATGTTGATGATGCTGGTGATGATGATAATGACGATGATGATGCTGATGCTGATGCTGATGCTGATGATGATGCTGATGATGCTGATGATGATGACGATGCTGATGATGATGATGCTGATGATGATGATGATGGTGATGCTGATGCTGATGCTGATGCTGCTGCTGCTGCTGCTGATGCTGCTGCTGCCGCTGCTGATGATGATGGATATGCTGCTGATGATGCTGCTGCTGCTGATGATGATGATGATGATGATGATGATGATGATGAGCAAGGCACTAGCTGGTTTACAACTGATTGCCGGCAATGATAGAGCGCGACGGCTTCTGCGGCTGAAGTTGGCTACGATGTTCAAATCCCATTGCGCCTGCTCGAGGGCACGCACTTCTGCTTGCCAAGCGGCGCCTCAGTCCAGGGCAAGGGGTACTGCCGGCCGGGAGGAGCTTGGCCCAGGACTCACAGGGCATGGGTCCACCCCGCGTGGGCGTTGGTCCCTCGGCGGCGGGGGAGGAGCCGTGCGGGCCTCCATGCAAAACGCTGGAGTGAGCATGGGTCTGAGGCTCGGCAGTGGGCTCCCGTGGTGTGGCATTTTGTGCAATGCGCTGCAACGGTGCCCCCGTTCAGCTAGAGTCATCCGCCAGCGCAGACGACCCCTACAGTCGGGGCCCTGAAGAAGGAACCCTTTTCGTTGGAGAGGGGCTCGGCGTTCCTTGACTGTTCTGCAGTTTGCCTCCAGTTTCCCTGAGGTTTTCCACGGGAAATCGAAGTTCAACTTATGGGAGAAAGGGGCCTCGTTCCTTATTTAGGGTTCCCTCCTCCCTCCTCCTCCTCCTCCTCCTCCTCCTCCTCCTCCTCCTCCTCCTCCTCCTCCTCCTCCTCCTCCTCCTCCTCCTCCTCCTCCTCCTCCCCCTGTGGTTGACCCGGGGCCCGCTTAGGTCAACGCCCCGACTGTATCTGGCCGCCGACGAAGATTGTTTGGCACCCCGGTCGAGCTCGGAGCCATGCCGGGGGGCGTGGTGTCCGTGGCAGAGGTCCACCGTGGCAGAGCAAGGCCGCCGCCGTCCGCTCTCTGCTCCGCGCTCTCCTCGTGTGGGCCAGCACGGTGGCCGTACACAGCCGGGGCGCTGACGAAAGAACCTTTCTCCCCTGACCTTCCAGGAGGGCAAAAAGATAGCACGCGATTCAAAAGCCTATCCCAGAGCTATTCAGTGTCTTGGTTTTTGGCTGTTTCGTTTCGTTTTTCAGGTTTTTAGGCCTCCCGTGCTAAAAAATAGCTCTCTGGAAGGTCAGGGTCGTTGGGGAGGGGCTCCGTGTTCCGTGCTTGTTTCGCAGTTTGCGCCAGGTTGTCCTCAGGCCTTCGATGGGCGATCGAAGGGCAGCTTGTGGGAGGAGCGGGCCTCGTTCCCGAGTCAGGGTTCCTGGGGTCAGCGCCCCGACTGCAGCTCTGGCGCCGAGCCTTCCGCAGGCGGGGCGGCCTCGGCAAAGAACACAACTGCGTGCGACCTCGTCCATCCTAAATCGACAGATCGCCAAACTGTACAGAGAAATTGCCGGTCAAATCGCTGGGTCGTTGCTTAAACGCCGGTGCATTGTCTACGCTGACAGATCGAGATTTCCAATCAACTGAGATTATGCTGCGAGGGACCCGGGCCTTTAATTCCCTCTCGGCCTCACGAATGGCCCAATCGCGCGTTGCGTCAGCCCCCGAAGGAGCCGAGCCACCCGAGACGGGTGGGGCGGCCGCTCGCTGTGCGAGCGATGCAGAGACCTGGAGCGATGCCCGCGACCCGCTGCGGGAGCAGGCCGGGGCCCGCAGCCGCACAGGCCAGGGCGCGTGCCCGGGGCAGCCCGACGCCGGAGGTGCCCAGCGGAGCGCTCCTCGGAAGCGCCCGGAGCTGACGGGGCGCTGCCCCGGGGCGCCCGAAGGTGCCCGAGCCGCCCGAAGCTGCCTCCCAGGGGTAGGGCGCTTCCCTGGGCAGCCGGACGCGTTCCTGGGCAGCCCCCGGAGGTATAGAAGGGCGGACCCAGACACCCGGCGGCTCGAGACAGCACCCTGACCCTCCAGGAGGGCTTGGCAATAGCACCCGACTTAAAGACCTATCCCAGAGCTATTCTACGTCTTGGTTTTGGGCTGTTTCGCTCCACGTTTTAGGTTTCTAGGCCTCCCGTGCTGAAACATAGCTCTCTGGAAAAGGTCAGGGCAGGGCGGCAGGCTCTGCGCCGTGCTGGGCCGTCGGAGGCCGCTTTCGGGCCCCCTGGACCGTCGGGGATAAGAAGCAGCCGGCCCCCGCGGGAGGGGGTCGAGAGGTCCGGAGGCCCACGCCCCGCAAAACCAGTCCGCCTGACAGCATATATTGGTGGTCTCCAAACCAGGTGGTGAGACACCCGGTGGTGACCCCGATTCCCCCAAAAAATAAATCTGGGTCACCACCGGGTTTGGGGACACGCGGTCGCCACGAGGTTTTGCGTTTCCTGGGCCAGCCAGCGCTCGAAAACCATTACCCAAATCGCCCAAAACTCACCACCGGGTGTTCTCACCACCACGTTTGGGGACCACCAAATATATTCGGTCGGCCCGATCCGATCAGGCCCAGGGCCCATTTTTATTCTTCAGGCTTACGCCACATCCGCCGACCCCTTACATGCGTTCGAGCAAGACGTGTCTGACGCTGTTGAAGGAGCAGGCGGAGATGTCGGGTGCACCGAAGAAGCACAATTCATCGGGGGAGAGGCTCTGTCGGAAAAGCGCGGAGGGGCGAGAGACCGAGGTGCGACGTGACGTGCGCGGCGTGCGGAGGAGCATTTTGATTTGATCGAGCCGATTCGATATCGCTTTCGGTTGGTCCGATCCGGTTCCTCGATTCTGATCTTCCGACGATTCTCTGCCCCTTTTCGAGACGGCATCCTGTCGATCCCGATCTTCTGAGGATCCACGTTCCACTCAAGCAGTGCCCACCATGAGACATTTGTAAATCTCTGGCGAGAAGGGGCGTGACGGGAGGGAGGGAGGGGGGAGGGGGCCAGTAACGTCACGATTCGCGCCAGCGCCGTCTGGGAATGTAACGTCTACTTCCCAGACGGTGCCGGCGCGAAGCGTGACGTTACCAGTGGGGGGCGGGCGGGAGAGCGGGGCCGGTCACGGTCGTCACCGCGAGTATTCTCAAAGTAAAAGAGGGGGGGGCGAGCGGTTTTCCACCATCCCTGGTTGCGTGGGCGAAGTGAGATTTTCCGTGGCCCAGATTCTGCCTGTTCGTTGAGATTTTTCATCTTTCAAAAATGTCAACGTGTGTGTTTTTTCAATTAAGGGTGCTCCTCCCCGGACTCGCGCACCCTGTTTTTTTTAGCAGGGGAAGTCTTGGTGCTCAAGCTGGGCCCCTGGCCCCCCGGTTACAACAACAACAACAGCAACAACGACTCCCGCCCGATGCTTCCGCAGAATTTGTTCGGATTTCGCGCTCTCGCGCGGGACGTCTTCAGGTTCGTGCAGGGATCGTGCTCTCGCTTGGCACCTCACAATTTATGGCGGCGCTGGGCCCCCAAGACTCAGGAAGCACGCTCTCGCCGCGGGTTTCCTCACGATGTACTTGGGCATCGCGCTATCGCTGAAAACTTTGTCGCGACTAAGTTTGGATTGACGCTGCAGCGACCCGCCCGCTGGACCCGGCCGTCTGGGCCCGCCCGCCCGACCTGCCCGTGAGGGTCCGCTCGCCCGGCCCGCCCGTCTGGTTCTGCCGCGTTGTGCTCCTGCTCCCAACCCTCCTCCTGCAAGTCTCTCTCTATTGTGCTCCATCCTTCTCCCTCCCCCTGTCGTGTCTTCGCTTATCCCTTCCTCCCCCTGGTGTGGAGGCTGCGCCAACTACACGCGGCAGGTAGGGAAGACACACCCCCAAGGGGGGTACGATCGAAGACGAAGAGGGCGGGTATCCAGGGTTTGGGACACATGTGTTGAACTGCACGCGAGCAGGTGGGAGCAATTAGTCTTAAAAGTATTGTTGGTGGCGGTGGTGTGGCTGTTGCTGCTGTTGTTATTGTCGCTGTGGTTGTTGTGTTTGTTGTTGTTGACGTTGTTATTGTTGTTGTGTTTGTTGCTGTTATGGCTGGTGTTGCTGATGTCGCTGGGGTTGTTGGTGGAGTTGTTGTTGTTGTTGTTGTTGTTGTTGTTGTTGTTGTTGTTGTTGTTGTGGATGTTGTTGCTGGTTGTTGTAAGTGCTGTTGTTGCTGCTGTTGCTGCTGTTGATATTGTTGTTGTTGCTGCTGTTGTTGTTGCTGCTGTTGTTTTTGTTTGCGTTGTTGAGGTCTCAGTCTTAAAAGAACAGTTATTGTTGATCCCCGCTGCCTGGTAACCATTGCATTATTCAAATGATGTGATTTTCTTTGGGCCCGCATCTTTTTTGTACAAGGCCAAGCGAGGTGTCACAAAACTGCGTCCCTGGCCCCCGGTTTGCAACAACAGCAACAACAACAACGGCTCCCGCCTGATATTTTCTCACAATGTATTTCCGAATCGCGCTCTCGCGCGGGACGTTCTCACAACTTATACAGGAATCGCGCTCTCGCGTGGGACTCCCTCGTCATTTATTCAGACGCCGTGCCCTCGACATTTTGGAATCACGCTCTCGCTGTGGATTTCCTCACGATTTGTTTGGGAATCGCACCGTCGCTCGAAATATCCTCGCGATTCATGCAATAATCACGCTGGAAAGCCGTCTGCTCGACCTGGCCGCTTGGGCACGCCTTCCCGACCCGCCCGATAGGGTCTACCCGCCCGTCTGGTTCTGCCACGTGTTTTCTGCTCCTAGCTCCTGGCCCCTCTTCTGCTAATCCCGTGTTCCATCCTCCCTCCCCTTGTCCTTTCCTTCCATCCGTCCTCTCTTCCCCTGCCTGAGGGGCTGCACGAAATATACGCTGCAGGTAGGAAATACCCCCCTAGGGGGGTACCATCGAAGACGGAGAGGGCGGGTATCGAGGGTTTGGGATATACGGGTTGAAAGGCCCGCGATCAGATAAGAGTGAGCAATATTAAACGTATTGTTCTTGTTGTTGCTGTTGTTGTTGTTGGTGTTGTTGTCGTTGTCGTTATTGTTGTTGTTGATGCTGTTGTTATTGCCATCCCTATCCTCCTCCCGAGGATCGCCTCGCAGTGCATGGAGGAAGCCCGCCGCCGCGCGCGCCGCGGCGCGCTTGTCGTCGCCGTTGTCGTCGGCGTCAGTCGTTGTCGTCGTCGTCGTCGTCGTCGTCGTCGTCGTCGTCGTCGTCACGTCATCGTCGTCGTTGATGTCGTCGTTGTCGTCTTCGCCGACGTCGTCGGCGTCGTCGTCGTTGTCGTTGACGTCGTCGTCGGCGACGTTTTCGTCTTCGTTGTCGTCGTCGCCGTTGATGTCGTTGTAATCGTCTTCGTCGTCGTCGTCGCCGTTGTCGTCGGCTCGTTGTTGCAGGAGGAGGAGGGGGGGGAATGAGGGGGTGGAGGGGGTAGGGGGAAAGGGAAAGAGGTGGAGAGGAGGAGGACGACGACGAGGAGTACTAGGAGGACGAGGAGGATAGGGGGTCGGGAGGAGGGGGAAATAGAGGTGGGGGTGCTCTCCTTCTGCTCTTTTTTCCCCGTCCGCTTCATTCCTCCTGCCCGTGGCCGGTGGCTTGCGGAGCTCTTACTCGCGCCTTATGTTTGGACCCCACTCTGCAGGATTTCATTTTTCCTCACCTCTAGTCCTCACCCGCTTCCTCCGTCAACCCTCCCTCTGCCCGAGTCTTGAGCGACCGTGCCTTTTCACTCGTTCCGGAATTGTGCCCAGCTCTCGCTGCATGTGCTACGATGGCTGGCAGAGCCATCAGGGATGTGCACTCAACGCCTGTTTCCTCTCTCCTTGGCCGCTGTGTATCGCGACTTGAATGGCAACGCGATTTGATCGCAGTGCCGGCTGATGTGTGAGTTTTGCGGGGCTTGTCAGAGGTTATGTTTCGTGGCAACAAAGAACACTTCACTCCTCCCACCAGTTCTTCTCGTTTCTCCTCCCTCATCCTATCCGCCATATTATCAGCCTCCTCCACCTCATCTTGCCCTCCTGTTCTTGCTGCTGCTCCTCCTGCTCTTCCTTCTCTTCCTCTTCCTGGCCTCTTCCTAATTCTTTCCGTCCTCAGCCCCACTCTCCTCCCCCACATCCCCCCTCTTCCTGCCCCCCCCCTCTCCTCCCGCCTCCTCCTTCTCTTCTTCCCACTCCTCCCTCCCTGGCACCCCCCGGTGGGAGAGGGGAGGGGTAAGGAGGAGGAAGAGGAAGAAGAGGATGAAGAGGAGGGAAAGGCATGCAGCAAGACGCTTGCTCAATGGTTACCTTGCCTGGGCCCAGTGCCAGTAATATGCATCACGAGGGGATACGGATCCCTGGCTGGCGGTCGCCTCCTCCCTCGCCCCCTCCTCCCCCCTCCGCCTTCCGCCCCCAATCCTTGCCTCCCCGTTCCCCTCCCTCCTTCCGTCCTTCCCCCTTCCCTCCCCCCATCCCCCCTCACCCTTCTCTGCAGCCAGCAGCAGCATCGCACAGCGACGCGACTGTGCCGCATGTTGGTATTATTTCCGTGCCGTCGCCGCCCCCACGCACAGGGTCCATGTCGATCCGATCGCTCCGCATCGACATTGGTCTCGGCGAGCCCGATCCGCTTCCATTCTCCGCCGAGCCGATGCGACCCGACGCCCGCATGTGGCGCTGCCGTTCCCCCGCGCGCGGCCAGCCCGGTTCGATTATGGTTTTGAGTCAGGCGCGTCCCTTTACAGGAGGAATATTTAAAAACTAGTCGGAAAATAGTCTGGGGACGATTTGGCTGCTATCTTTTGGGGTGTGTTTGCCCGTTCTTGTTTGTTTGTTATTTTCAATGTTTCGTCCAAGATCCGCCTCTTAGGAGGACATGCCCGACCAAATTCTGGTTCCGATCTGACACGGTTCCCCGCCTCGGGGCTGCCTGGCCCTACCCCCTGCGAGGAGCAGGCCGAGGCCCGTGGCTGCACAGGGGGCGCGGGGCCCGCGCGCCTGGGCACGGCTTGGGCAGGCGCCTGGACTCGCGACGGAGACAGCGGCTAGGAGGGAAATCCTGGAGGCCCCGCGCGGCGCGTAATCTACGAGGCCTCGAGCGGCTCGAAATCCTGGAGGCCTCGAGCGGCTCGAAATCCTGGAGGCCTCGAGGGGAATCCTGGAGTCCATACGTCAGCTCCGCAGGCTATGGGTCGACGCTCGCGCGGCGATGCTCGGGCGTCGGTCTGGCGCACATCCGACGCAATGCCGACGCAGTCCGCCGCGAAGCCGACGCACATCCGACGTGGGTCCGACGCGAATCGGGTCTCGAGTTGCCGCGCGAGGCCTCCAGGGTTTTCCTCACAACACTTTGTCCGAGGCTCGCGCGTACTTCTTTGATCGGCGCTGGGATCCCCCGGGCGGCGCCCCCTAAAACAGGGCTAGGATCGGGATAAATCGCTCCAGAGCGTTCCGGAGCGCTCTCAGAGCGTTCCGGAACGCTCTGGAGCGGCCGCGGCGCCCAATACATCCTCCAAGCCCGCCGATTCTCAGAGATTTCGAGTTATCCCGATCCGATTTTGTCCCGATCTTCGCGTCGTTTTACTTCTTTGATCGGCGCCAGGATCCCCCGGGCGGCGCCCCCGCGAGCGGACCCCCTTCAGGAGGCCATCGGCTGGCTGGAGGAGCCGGCCCGGCCCCCCCCCCTGCCACGAGGCCGGCGGCGGGCGCGCACCCGGGGTGGAGCGCGCAGCGGCTGCGGGGGCGGGCGGGGGGGGGAAGTGGGAGGAGGAGGAGGATGAGGAGGAGGAGGAGGAGGAGGAGGAGGAGGAGGAGGAGGAGGACCAGTGGAAACCCAAGAGTCACCCACGATGTTGGAATACGCCATCCCCTCAAGCTCCCTCTCTTCATAGGTGCATCTCCACGGAGGGAACTGCTTCGTTGCAAGACAACCGTTTGAAGACCCTGAAGCATGCCAAACCATTGTTCTCGGGATTTCGACGCCACGGATCAACCTGACCGTTGCGTCTTGACGATCCTGATTCGTGCCAGAACGCCATTCCTGGGACTTCAACACCGCGAACCAACGTAACGGTTGTACCCTTTATAACCCTGAGTCTTCCGAAGCACCATGTATGGTACACTGATCATGGGATGGGAC